TGGGGCCAAATAGGCTACAAGATGGAGGGAGAGAGAACAGTGAAAAGGATGCAGGAATTGTGATCTGCAAAACTTACTGCGTGGGACTCACTTGGTGTCTCTGCGAAAGGGGAAAAATCTTGGGATGGGCTGTTTGGTGTGAGATGCTGAGGAAAGTGGAGAGGGTGGGTCTGAATGTGACCACCAGTTTTAGAAAAGAACAGTCAAGGGTCTGGAGAGATGGCTTAGCGGTTAAGAGCACTGACTGCTCTTGCAGAGGACCGGTGTTCAATTCCTACCACCCACATGGTGGCTACGAACTGTCCTTAACTCCAGTTCCAGGGGAATCCAAAGCCCTCTTCTGACCTCTGCAGCATTCTATGCTGAGGAAAGTGGAGAGGGTGGGTCTGAATGTGACCACCAGTTTTAGAAAAGAACAGTCAAGGGTCTGGAGAGATGGCTTAGCGGTTAAGAGCACTGACTGCCCTTGCAGAGGACCCGTGTTCAATTCCTACCACCCACATGGTGGCTACGAACTGTCCTTAACTCCAGTTCCAGGGGAATCCAAAGCCCTCTTCTGACCTCTGCAGCATTCTATGACACAGGTGCACTCATATACATGCAGGCAATACACTCATACACATAAAAAAACAAACAAAAAAATAAATAAAATATTAAAAAAAAAACGGACAAATAAAGTAAGCTGTGGACCTTAAGAGCAAGATACAGAAACTTGTTAACAGCAAAGGACAGTGATCAGAGCATGGGGTTTACCAACCAGTGGCCCATCCCCACTGGATGGTGGTATAATGGCATGTCCCCCATCTCAGCCTCAGCCCCATGATGACTTCCAGTGGGAGGTTAAATTATGGCTTCTAGAACAGAGGGAAGGTAGGGGACATTGGCTAAGATCTGGCCTTGCTCAGGGTCTTCTGAGGTGCAATTTGCTTGATGCTAAGCTTCTAGTCACTCTGGAAAGGAGGTGCCCGCAGGCTACATGCTTCCTGGCTTTTTTCCTCCTTGTTGATCATTCCCTGATGCAATCTCCAGCTAGCCTTTCAAATTGGGTGGCTCTTTCTCATGGGCAACAGGCCCAGACTGCCACATTTTAGAATCTCCAAGTCATCAATAGATGCTACACCTGTTAAATGGCATTGGGGCCTAAGCCTGGGCATCCTGCCTGCACTTGCTTCTTCACCTCTTTCCACCAACCCAGGCCCTGACCTCACTGTACCTTGGTTTCCCATGCTAATCACTCCTGGGGCTTCTTGAGGGCTAGGAAGGGAGGAGGGCAAGAGAAGAGTCTCTGCAAGGCCCTTGAAGGGAAGCCTTTAGGGGCCCTGGTCCCTTTTCTTTCTGGCAAGAGG